TTTAAAAAAAAAAAAAAAAGATCTTCTATCAAAACAATTCCAAAAGCCACATCCCAGAAAAAAAAAATTCTCACAAACGACCTCTTGGCCACACCTTTAAATTGCCGACATCCGCACAATCCACAAAACCCACCATCCTCCACCGACCAACGCCACAAAACAGACAAAAAACCTGAAAATTTTGTGGAAAATAATCACGGGCTTGAGAAAAGTGATGAGATTGAAAACGTTGTGGAAAGGGTAGAGGATTTGGATTTTGAGGATGATAATTCCAAGGATGCAAGGCCGAATTCTTGAATTCCGCTTCCATGGGAGTTGCTACAGCCGGTTTTGAGAATTTTGGTGACCCCTTAATTTAATTTCATCCACTAGAATAGATTGCAAGTGGTGCAAGTTAGGTTGGGCTTCAATAAACTTGGGCCACAGATTTTATTTTGGGCCTCACAATTTTCTAGCTTCCAAATTTCAACCCATGGACAGTTGCTTTTCTTAACTCCAGGCTCCAGCTTCTGAATTTCAATTCAAAGGGACCATGACTACATGCCAAGACTCCAAGAGAAGAGAGAAAGGTTGTATAACTTAGAATTTCCATCTCTTCATTCAGACTCCAAATGTATTGCTCCATAGTTGGTATTTTTCTGAAGCACTCAACTACTACCTCTTGTTGTTCAATTAAATGTCGAGCTTGAAATTCTGTTGAAAGTTCCAACCATGGATGCTAAGAAAAGGAAACTGTCATGCCCCTGGTGAAGCAAAAATTTGAAGACAACATGCCAACGCTAGAAGCCAACTTGAGGGGACCAATATAAAATAAAATCAGATTGCAGTTCTATGGCATGCCACTCCACCATATTTGCCGAAGGCTCGACTACACGTTTTAATGATTAGAGGACACCATTCGTTTCCATTAAATCCAGCAAGCACTGAGTTGCAAATTGGGGGCGATAGGCTGTGTTGGGTAAAAGAATTATGTTCAAAAATTAACATGGCTACAAAAATGTTTAAAGCCCAATTATGCCATCTTCCATTCCTTGAAGAAGCGATCTAAAGTCGAATCATCAACCAACTTTTTGTCCATATATTTGTGATCTTTCGGCAATCTATGGGATGTGTTGACAAGCTTCTGCGGTGACAAACGAAGCTATTTTAGACTCCAGTGACTTG